CTCCCAATCTAGCGCTGGTGGGTGAGTAGGAAGCTTTGGTATTAGCACCCAGCAAACTTTAAGAACTACGACTTCATGCCCGAAAACAAAAAGATCGTCGTGCATCGGGGTTAGAGGCCCGATTGCATTTTTCTCGACGTGGTGAATGGAATAGTGGCGGCCTCTAGAACATTGGGCGAATTCATATTTTCAAGGACGGGCCGAAGATGGAAGGAAAAATTTTAGAAGGCGATTCCTGTTTGAGCTGCCAGATTTCTGCAGTAAATTTCTAACAGATGTGAGCGCTATAAAGAGGGCAGTCGACTGGCTACGTAACAGTGTAATATCGATTAGAAGTGTGTATATTAGGGTGGTGCTTAAAAATATAACTATCTAAACTTTGTACCCTTTTATGTTGGTATGCGCACAGGGTTTGAAAAAATATAAATTAAAACAAAAATAGCAAGATTTCTAAAAAATGTTTATTTGAAATCTGGTAAATTTGACATATATGTAATTGAAACTTATTCAAATAAATTTACAAACTCGCGGAGTTATAGCTGGCTTAAGTCAAAATATTGTCGAATTTTCGCTATAAAAAAAAGAATATAATCAATTTTTTCAAAGCGATCCCTAAAAAGAAATTTTCGTAGTCGTCTTTATTTTGTGCCACGTATAAAGTTTGATATTGATATTTTTGAGGACCACCCTAATATATGGTCATCAGTGCTCTGGGATCTTTAGTAACCTAAGCAAATCGGGGAATTCGTTGGATTATTTGGATGTGAGGGCGCAGTGAGATTTTAGGAGACTGCAGGGCCGATGAATTGAATCTAGTGCCGTATTTCCGCTGAGCAGTAAATAGCAAAACTTTTGCTGGGCATTAAATTGAAAAAACCTCTGTCATGGAAATTTACTAAACTGCACAACTTTCCCGTCACTTCAATCTCTAGTGGAAATTTTCAATAAAAATCGAATTTAAAGGTTTTAGAAAATACTTTAAAAGTCTCATTATTTTAAATATGCCACGATAATTGAACGAATCGTCTTAATAACTGTATCTATGTTCAAAAACCACTATCCCTACAATCACTCACCGGCACAGGTGACGCCGCCATCCATTGCTGAAACAGATCGGATGTCANATAACTGTATCTATGTTCAAAAACCACTATCCCTACAATCACTCACCGGCACAGGTGACGCCGCCATCCATTGCTGAAACAGATCGGATGTCACTGATGGTCGTTTCGGGGGTTTTCGGGAATCGATGAATTCATGCAATCGCGCCAATGCCTCTGGCGGTGCACGCTCCATCAGCCATTTCTCGAATGCTTCCGGCTTTTCCTCGAACAAACGCGCCACTTCGTCTACTTCTTGTTGCGTGGCTTCACGTCGGGCAACTTTGCCGCCATTACTGCATGCGGCTGCCCGCTCGGCCGCTGCTGCAGTTGTCGTCGTCGGCATCGTCGGCGTCGTCGCGTGCGCAATCGGACTACAACAACTCACCGGCGAATTGAGAGCCGTATTGTCTGCGCTATTGCTGGGGGAATGCTTTAGCGTCGCCATGTCACAAGCGGATATCGAGTTAGTTGCGCTGTTGTTGCTGGTACTGGTAGTGGTGGCGCCATTGTCGGTGGATTGTGTGCGTTCACGCGAACTCGTTCCGTCTGCTGTGGGTGAGTGAACTGAACCGCAAGAGGAGCGTTTGCTGGACAAGCTGGTTGTCATGCTGTCGCCGCTATCGACTACACCCTCGTTGTTGTTTTGATTCAAGTGTGGCTTATCAGTTTTTATAAGTGACGGCAATTTGTCCACGTGATGACCATCTCCATTTGTAAAAGATTTATTTATGCTGGCATCGGGGTCATCGATAGAGCTAACTTTGCTTTTGAGCAAAGAGCCAGTTAAGTCGCCATCTGCTGTCGTGGCAACCGGAGATGTTGCAGTGCCTGCTGCGGTTGGCGTTGTCGTTGCTGTTGGTGCAGCTGTCGGTGACACATCTGTCATTTTTAATTAGGTATGTGTTAGGTTGTTGATTTTGTTGTTGCTGCTCATATATGAAATTTCTTGAGGAAATCATTGGCATGAGCGCAACCAGTTCAATAGCCGTTCACTCACATTTGGCATACAGTTACTCGCTCCTACATTGCCTGACTCAAGATATGTTTTTAGTAACTACATACATCAGTGCTTGTGCGCGTTTTTGCGTTCCGTTAAACTTACAGGTTTAATTGACAGTAACTATCTTCGATCGGCTGTCAATTTTGTTCACAAGTAGGTACATGTACCAAGTATACATTTGCTGAAACGTGCGCCCTCATTCACTTCAAGTTCCTGGACACTTGCGAATATGTAATTTGTTGCGCTCAAAGCTCTTAAGCTTCCGCCAGGTTCCGTTATGCGCCCACTTGCCCTGTTACCAGCACATTCGTACGCACACACACACACTGGGCAATACTGTTTGCACTAAGTACAACGTCAGATTTGTTCGATTCTACAGCTCTAATCCAATTTCGTTGCCTTGTCGGTTTTCCACTCACACACTTATACAGCAGTCAGTCAGATCACACGTTCGTAACGGCTCAAGTGGTAGTGGTTAACAAGCAACCCGTTGTGTTTTGTATTCTGACGTCCGTCGCCTGGTTATCCTGTCTGTTTACTTTTATCCCCTACACCTGCTGCTAAGCAGATAATTGATGTTCGTTTTCTAATTTTAGTTGCTTCTGCTGTGGGGTTTTTGCACTTTGATTTTCACTTTTCGAATGAGTTTTTGTTACGTATTCTGGCGAATTTTCTGCTACACACAACTTTTCGCCTGTTGGCTTTCTTCTGATGTACTAAGCTGCTGTTATACTGGGCGCTTTCCTTTTCTTCGAGATTACATTTATTTTGTGTTTATTTCTATACTTCCGTCAGATAAAAGTTAAATGGTCACAAGTGTGTGTTATGTTTATATTAGCGTTACTTGTTTCTTTGAAGGAATTATGCATCGCTTATTTCGTAGAAGTAGAAGTTCATCATTTGTGTACTCTCTAGATAATACCTATGTAAGTATTAGCCTGTTATGTGTTTGGTTTCCGATGTGCACGTTTCCAACCTGGGAGTCCCAACTAGCAAAGTTGAGGAACAGCTGGTGGCTTAAGTTTTCCTGGTTGTTACTGCAAGAAAGATACAAGAAAGTTTTCATAAACAATTGGCAAGTAAGTTTAATTGTGTAATAAATCTATTAAGTATGAGATGGACAATATATTTTCGGAGGACAATAACTAACTTGCATATTTGTATAGAACATAAATTATATGAGTACTGGGCCATGGAATACATAAATACGAGATACGCAATCGGCGTAATTTTCCCAAGACATTTTCATTTTAAGTTTGCATTTTGAATGAGACAAATTCAAATTTTACAAGGGAAATTGTTATTCATTCGCGTATGAGCAACATTCTTAATTGCTCGAATTTCATTTGACCATTCATAACTTTTATATTTATTCATCAAATTTCTTCTTTCTCTGCTTGAAAGATGCTCCCGAGACCCGGCAGTATAAACGTAATATTAATTGAGAGTTGCTGGTAGTAGACATCAGCTCCAACTCTGCCGTCCAGCTTCGATCTGCCCGTGAAGTTGTTTATTGGACCTTTACTCCAGAGACTGATATGCGTGGAGAATCATTCATTTTGGGGCCAGCCTCAGAATACTCCGTTGCTTTACTTCCGGTAAGAAGTTGTAGGTTTTGAGAATTATCCTTTGCCCGTACGCGGGTTTTTGTTCCTACTGGTTGAGCGAACCGACACCACTTTGCCCGCAATGTAAATAGGTGCGACACTGAGCATAACATTTAGCTCTAGAGTACGAGCCATCCGGACTGCACCGCTTATTCCGACGGGAGCCGCCCTTTGCACGCTGTCCATCAGGGAGAACAATATTTTGTGGTCTAAAAATCAGCGGTGTCCGAGTCTTCGATTGATTGGCCAACTCTAATGTCAGGCTGATAAGCCCCGGTAATGTCCATGATGGTGGCTTTACCCTTCTTGGAGGTCGAGCGAGCGAAATTAAGGAATATTTCCGTCTGAACATATTCGTCGCCATATTTTACCCCACATCTCCACCTGAAACTTCTATCTCAGCACAGCTTTTTTAACAGAGTCTGTAGAAGGTGGAGACGTGGCGTTAAGAGCGTAGATGACACTGTTCGCGCAGCGCCAGAGGTGGGTGGCGGAACATCATCCCTATGGTTACCGCCGCTGTTACTATTTACGTAGCAGGTTAAACAATTTTCCCTCTAAGCAATAATCTACTTTTTTTTCTCGTCGAACTTGTTCGAAGGCAGTTATTCCAGCAATTATTTGTTCGTATTTTATTACAATGTTTAGCCGAAATGTGCCTACGCCTAAAACGGATTGCAGGCATATATTACCCATCTTACACTTATCTAGGGATGGCAAAAAAAATAAAATAATCGATTAATTAATCATATGATTCTTCACAAGTCAAAAAAATGCAATTAATTGCAATTATTGAGAAATAATCGATTATTCGAATTTTTAAAAGCACTTTTTTACAGTGGATATTCATAAAAACATTTTTCATACAAAATTTGTAATTATCTGGTTAATTAGTCTTAAATAAAATAAAACGGGTTTTTTAAGCACCGATAATTATTTATTATTCAACTATTTTTGCAAAAACAAAAGTTTTAATAAGCGTTTCATTATTAAGCGGTTGCGTTTCTTGGTGGATGTAGTACCGGCATTTGAAAAAAGGCGCCCAGCAGGCACCGAGGTACCAACTAAATGACAATATTTTTCCGAAAGTCCGTATAGTTTTGGGTAAACTTTCGGTTGTCTAACTTCTAGTATTTGACCAACTGGTTCACCGATAAATCAACTTTTAAAATTTTTCAACATATATCGTGTATATAAGTATAAAAATCACCGCAATTTAAAATTTTTAGAGTTTTGATAGTTTTGAATTTCTTGAAGTCTTCCACTTTAAATAACTTGAGTGGAATTCCAAAATTTTCTAAACTTGCAAAACTTGGTGAATTTGAGAAATTTTAGTAAATCACAATAATTCAATTTTGAGAATTGTAGGAATTTTTGTAATCCTTGAAGACTCATACAATTTTTGAACGTTGATGTTTTCAAAATTTTCAAAAAATTTAAAATTCTCAAACTTTGTTATATCAATACAAAATTTTGGAAAAGTTCAGAAAAGTGGAAAAATTTTGGAACTTTTCAAGAATATTAATATATTTTAGAATTCTAAAAATTTTCTATTTTTTATACACAAGTACCATGAACATAAGAATTTTTCGACAATTAGTGATGTTTCACATTTCTACCTTTTAGGATGGATTTTAGAAAATTCCTTTTCTATTCACAAAAAATATACTTTTGAATAAAAATACTGGAAATGTACCTAAGTTGTCTCTAAATTTACGCTTCAAATAAAGTGTACAAATTCGCTTTTTGTTGTAAGTTTTAGTGGATTTTACTACGTAGATGCAACTACTTATTACTACTCATTACTTGAATGCTTTCAAAAAAAGGCCGTCGCATGCGTTTTAATGAAGTTAATCTCTAAAGCCTCGCAGAAAAAAATTAAAACTCAACAGCCATTCGTAGAACTACTGGCCTTGAGTGTTAAAATTTACAGATGTAAACATGCAGATATAACTCAGATGTGCCACAAAATCCACACAGCTGATAATCCAATTTTATTTTATGCTTTATTGTGCACCAAGCTACCGTTTTTTACGATGCATGTGTTAAGCAGAAACAAAGCAAAATTAACTGTTAACGAAACGAAAACATCAGCGGAAGGTAAAAGTGCAAGGTTCATTACCAAAAACGAAAGCTTTCACCCAACTCACTGCACTGGCTGGCCTAGAATGTGCGTTTGTGAGATCATCTTTAACGCCTCGCAGGTAGTACAATGTGTAGATACAATGGAGATTGGCGATAAATTTATGCAATTGCATCTGCATCTGCATCTGCAGCAAACAGCAATTCAGTCTTAAAACTTTACGATTATAGCCTGTACGGCAAAGCATTCGCGATAACTTGTGCATGTCGCTGGTGGTAAATAGCTGAGTGAAGTGCATGCTTTCATGCAGACTGGGTTATACAAATCTTTACGATAACCTATAAATGGAATTAAAATTTGTTTTACGCGTAGATTTTTCACTGTAAATAAATGAAATGTAAATACATTTTATAGTCCAGCTAAGCGATATCTATACAAATTTTTGTTAGATTTTTATTATTAGCATAAACATTAATACAGAAAATAAAAAATTAAGAAAATTAAACCCCGTTCGATAAATAAATACAAACATGTTTTGAATAAAAAAACAAATAGCACAGTCAATTTGGGAAGATCCGCTGAAACTTTCCGTAGAAAATTACACTTTGCGGAAAGTAGGGCCTAGTAGCGTACTATACCTGCAAAAGGTCCTCCGGAAAAAACTGGGGACTGTCACCGGTATATACACTACGGTCATTCGACTGATTCCAACCCATAGAGCGCTGATGTGGTTGCAAGCACTGGATAATAGCAGCAATCAGAAAATAATTGGAAGAGTGCAGAGTCTCGCAAACTTCGATAAATCCCGCGCCGTAAGCACCGCACCACAAGAAGGGATCTTTTACTTGAAGCCAGCGCAAGTATTCGTAACAGGTGCAACCGCAAAAGGGGCCCTAAGACTAAAGGTTAAGTTTGCATGGGAGGTATTTGCTAAAATAAATCGATTTCTTTGATGTTTAGTTAGAATATTATTACTAACCAACGGGCTTTTTAAGGCGTTTTTGAGATTAGGTTTGTATGGGTGGTATACCTTGAAATAAACCCATAACGCCCAGTTTTTAAGAGTTCGCACAAAACGTTATTAAAACAAGTAAGAAAGTCTAAGTTCGGGCGGAGCCGAACATTAAATACCCGGCGCACGTATTAAATATATGTTTTTCACCTTTCCGAAACCTTTCGCTAGATGGTAAGCCGGGGTGTATCAATTTTGAGTAAATTAGCGTCCTTCAATTTCGAAATATTGAAATTTAAAGAATTTCTGACATTTACCGTTATATGATAAGCGGCCGTTATTTTAGTCCGATTTCAATAATTTTCAACGTTTTGCTTATATGTGGCAAGCACAATAACCACACCGAGTTTGGTA